AGGATTTGTGTGTTAAACATGTGTGAATGAAACAAAACACAGCCCCCATCATGTTTTTGATGAGGAAACAACATTATAACATAGATCTGAGAAAAGCGTAATATCTGCCCTTTAAAATAAAATGAGATACTCCTTTAATATCTCACATGAGAGAAATTTGCCTTAGGACAGGGGTCACACTTTAACACAGAAAAAACATCACAACAACATAAGCCCATACAAACAACATCCATCATTAAACATAAATAAATAAGAGACTATAACCATGAGTAACGCACCATCAGGGACCTTTACGTCACTGTATGCAGCTGGCCAGTTTATGCTCTATTAGTATCTGCACAACCTATGAGCACTTTGGATTGCACTGAAAATTACCTGCAGTTTTATGGTATTAAAAATATATTGAAAACATGCAATCTATCCTGGTCACCTGTTCTGATCTCCATGTAGACAGATGAACTGTAAAGCAATTACATCTCACTAGAGAAGCAGGCGATGGGCCCTCCACTAGAAAACTTCAGTGTACTTTTTAATGGCTAAATTGGAATAGAGCTGAAACATAAATTCAACATAAATCTAGTCTTCCTGCCACCCTATTCTACTTTTTCTCCACCACAGCAGCAAGATCATGAGCCTCTGAACTTCTCAAAATCCCCCTCTTCACAATCAGTGATGATAGGCCTCAATTCAACTCTATTATTAGTCCCTTATTTGACAAAAGAATTAATTTACTTTTGTGACACAATTTCCATCATTCACATTATGAGTTGCCTTGTTCAGGCTATTTATACCCAGTCCTCCCACAGTCAGTCAGTTTCCATGAGTCAGCATGGAAAATTTAGCTTGATGATTATAGGACTATCCACGAGGTGACAGATATCCCAGATCTAATTACATATAGCCAACTATGATTACAGTAAAGCAATGGGACAAAGGCAAAGACAAAAATGGTATACTGAAGGACATACTTTGCTAAATTAACTTTTATGAGCCTTTAAACGTGTAACATTGTTCATTCATCCAACACGTACCTGGAGTTGCATTTAGTATCATTTGATGAATCTTATGGAGTAGGTCCACTTCGCCATCACATAACACTTGGTTTCAATTTTTCCAGGATTGTTACGTCATAGCAGGTACAATTTTTGCCATATTCTGGGCATGTACTTTATTTAGCTAACATTAGTATTCCCCATCTCACCCACCCCCCATGGTAAATGCCTCTATTGCCAGTAAATGAATCCCTACACCAGATTTTAGAATGAGGTGCATCCAAGATGGAAGAAAAAAAGGTTGTTTACAAAGCTATTATTTTAGGTTCTAAAATATGAGGTGTCAAAGCAGTAAAAAACAACAATAATAATAATATTGGTATCAAATGGTAAATCCTACAACTAAAATTGCATTCAAGTTGAAAAGAAAAGTTTGAAATGTATTAGTCTCATATTATATTTACATGTGTAAATAGGGAAAAACAGAGTAACTAATGAGACAATAATAGAATAATCCGTCATGTTATTGTGTCAAAGTGTATGCTGGTCATAATGTACGGTCAACTAGAATACCACAGCATTAGTGATTATTCTGTTATTCTGTCATTAGTTTCTCCCTAACAAAATGGAAAGGTCACTCAGTACTTTCATGACTCAGCTGTAAATGTGACTCATATGGTAATATGTTGAGTTGTCAGCTGTGCGCTGTGTAACTTTTTACCTGCTTGTCAAGTTTGATTGACCAGCCATCCCTTTTACATTCTTTTTGAATTCAGAAGGGTTTGGGATGGGGCATGAGGGTCTCCAGCCTCCATCCTAACTTGGGACTGTCCAAGCACAGCCACTAATTTGTAGCATTTGTCTCTCAAATGTGGAAGACATCGCCTCTCAAAAATTGTAGTATCATTAACTACATATATAACTTTTACCCGAGAACATAGTTAAAAGGTAATAAAATATTCTTTCCCTTTCAACACTAACCTTGCTTTTGTTGTATCCATGCTAAATTAAATTAAAGCCCATTTAGAATTCAAGAAATGTACCATTAATCATAGATACTTATACACCATCTCTGTTTTTACTAGTTGCTTCATACTTAGTTAAATACTTGATGACGGCTGAGGATGGTGTAACCTAAAGGTCAAGCTAATGACTACTTTGTCTGTCATATGACTCTGCTCAACAACCAACTGATTACACTCGATTTCCATAAACAGACCATTTCCGTCAATGTTATTAGGCCAAAGCTCAACACAAGAACCTAATTTCAAATAGAGGCTAGTGTCTTATTTATGGTCTTGCAGGGATTGAGCATTCAGATCTGTTAGTCTGTACATTCACTACAGGATAATCACGTATGAGTCATCAGACCATATCACCTCTTCATTCAATCACTGCCCTATGCATGATGGGCCACTGGAGCCCATAATGTAATTGTCAAAAGATACAATAGGTTTAGGTGGTTAGTTACCTCCGAGTCATCTTGTTTGGTGATTTTCCTTTTATATTTGAACAAACAATGAGAAGGATTCTCTAGCTACAGGGTCTCCAACCTGTAGTTCGGGAGCTACCAGTAGCTCTCCACCCCCATCCAGGTAGCTCGCCAAGGGATTTCGGAATTACACGTATTGTCCCGAATAAGTCAAATTTAATCAATTAAATGCCCATTACCATTTTACATGTATTATTTTTATGCCTAACTTTGTACACTAATAAATGGATAACAGTTTATGTTTTATAGGCATCTAACTAAATCTCATTTAAGGCTCGCTGTGGCTCTTAAATATACTCCATTTCTAGTGAATGCTAAAATTAATAGCTCTAGCATTTTTGTTTTGTAAAGGTAACTCACCAGAGGAAAAAGGTTGGAGACCCCTGGTCTAGCACAAACAACTGTCCTTACTTAGGATGGTCCAGTGGCAAACACTAATTTGTAGCATGTCTATCTTAGATGTGAAAAGGAGTTTAGCTCTTCATTTGTTTATTCTGCACAAGTCTACACTGTTTCTTTGTGTGTGTATGTGTTTTTTTTTCTCACTCATTAGCTGCCATAGGACCATATGTTTTAAATTATTATAAAAGCATGAGGTCTTTGGCTGCCCAGGCAACAAGAACTGAACACTAGAATGCCAACTGCAGGCACACTAACGAGGGAAGCACTTTCCATCAGATCAAATACCTACTACCTCTTGCAGCATGACCCGTCTCAGGCTATGTTTTTAAATAATCTGATGAAAGAAAGCGTATAGAAACAGTAAAGAGGAAGGGTCCCACGACTGAACCTTGGGGTACACCTTGCCTGACTCAAGCTGAATGGTTTGCAATAAAAAACTGTCAACAGGTACAGTTATGCTAATACGTACATACACGTATGGCTTATATACATGTTTGTATAACCACCGAACATTTTGACATCCATTTGCCAAATAACCAGAAAGCGTGACATTTAAACTTACACAAACACTCTAAATCTCCTGTGTCAGTCGGCTCTCATTTATGGAAGTAAGCGCAGTGTTTAGTCACTCGGCGCGGTGTCGTCATGCCCATTGTGGCTGGAATAATGGCTGCGAGTGTAAACAGGCTGAAGAAGAGAAAGGAGCCGAGCGGAGGAGCAGAGTAGGAGGGGGGGGGAGGCAGCGCTGGTAGAGAGTCCTCAAGGACACTGTGTGCTGAGGTGTTGGGAGGAGGAGGAGGAGGAGGGCTAGGACGGGGAGGAGAAGGAGGGGGGGGGGGGGGGTTGGCTGCTGACGCATTTGGGCACTGTGCAGGGAAGAAGCGCCTCTGCTGACGTCCGGACTGCCATGCAAATAACCAGGCCCAAACGAGGCCCGTATCCAGAGCCAGTGCGCCCAAGCGTGGAGAGTCTGGCACCACGCGAGATGTACTGACAAAACAAAGTTACGTTGGGGTGTTTTTTTTTTTTTTCCTTCATGTTTTGTTGGCAAAGAGTTTTGTCACACGTTGCAGAAAAGGGTTCACATAACACTACAGAGCCACTTCTTCAGTTCACTCTTGTGTAACAGGATTTGGACACATGCCAAGGCTACTTTCAAAGAAGAACAGCAATATAATACAGTCACCACTTCGAAATGGTATTGCTATTATTATTATTTGTATCATAGTTGGTCATTATAAGATTAGACGGTCATTTTAAAGGTGCGCTTTTCTGATGGAGGATCTACCACTTGTTTTTCTCTACTTTGCCTGGAATGTTCCACAATATAGCATTTAACAACTCCGTCTCTATGGATACGAGCCTGCGTACAGTAATAATTATTTATAATACTTGTAATTTGTCAAGGTATTTTGGCAGTGAACATCTATGATTGAAAGAGATTAGAAAGTGAGATTGCATCCTTTTAATCTCCCTGTCAAATGTCTACGTTCTTTTTAATCTACATGATCTATAATTAATTTGAATTCTTCCAACTTTCACAAAGCATAATCAACAAAACAGCAAGCAGCTTACTTGTTTGTTTTCTAGTTCTATCCCATTGCGTATGTTGTGGTATGCCTGGGCAAGGCACGTCACCAATGTCTCCTTTAAATAGTATGAATATGCTGTGAGGGCGACTGGTTATTGTTGGTACTTGATATTGATACCAGAATTTTAGTTTTCCAAATGTACAATATAATTCTCAGCATGAAAAATGTTGTTTCTTCAGAACCACAGGTACTACTACTCTGGTATCAATTAGAATGTGGGAATACATTTTGACAGCTCCACTACAAAACCATTCCACGCCTTACCCACTGTGAATTTCGCAAGCTGTTTTTTTTTTTTTCTGGCACGAGATGAAACAAGCTAACGACTCAAGTTTACATTTGGCTTTATTGTGCTGGACGCAGTGTTTTGTTGTGCTTCAAGGAAAGTGCTCTGGTTTCAGTGAGGGGAACGCTGTCTGAACAAAAGCGTTTGGTCACAGATGACAGCACGCGGCGATCCGCCTCTGAGCGCTACAAAAGCTCAAAGGTGCAGCGTCTGAAGAGGCCGGCGCTCTGAGCAGTGGTGAGTTTTGTGAGTCAGAGGTGTTGGAGGAACAAAAAGTGACTGACACAGTACGTGTTTGTTAGCTCATCTTTGTCAGAATCAAACAAGAGGTGGGTAGAGTTCCTAAGAATTTTACACAATGTTATTTCAAAATAATAATACTCAAGTAGAAGTACAGTCATGGTCCAAGAAATCACTCAAGAGTAAAAAAGTACATATTTGGGAAAACTACTACTCAAGCTCAGTGGCGGCTGGTCAATAGGGGCGCAAGAGCGCCGCACTCCCTAACTTGACCTAAATAAAAGAAGAACAAAAAAAAAAAGTTGTTATTTTGTATTAGGCTATATGTTTACTATTTTGTTTAAAATTGAACGTGTATCTGCATAGACATATTTTTATTACCTTAAATGTGCTCATATCACTTTATTTGAGTCATGTGTTTAAAATGTGAGTGCGGTGAGTCAGTGCGACCTAATGGAGATCTATGGAAGAGCCTGAAGTTTTGAGAAAATTTGACGTCATTACGTTGCCTCTGTGCATTACTTTACATTAGCACTAAAATACGTCTTTAGGACGCAGAGTCGAAGCGCCCTGAAATCAACTGATTGGTCTGAATAAACATGAACACACATCTGGACCTGTTGTGGTTCAGCTGCTCTGTCACTCAGCCCCGACTCTGCACTGACACATGTTACTGCTGCAGGAGAATGAACGGAGAACAACAGAGCTGTGGGCTGTACAGTTATGGCGAGTTCGTACAAGTACGTCCGAGGAACAGTTTTACGGAGTAAGAGCGAGAAAAGAAGCATTAAGCTGGAATGAGCTTTTGGCTGCGGTGAAATACTACGGCTCTTATTCTGATTCGCACACTGGCTAATGGCGGCTAGCTATTATCTTAAACCTCTCCACAGTAAAAGCGCGAGGACAGACCCGCCGCTGGGACCAGGAGCCACGCGCCGCCGGAGCCTGTCGGACCCAGGACCCACTCACTGTCGGACCCAGGACCCACTCACTGCCGGGGCCAGGGCAGTCGCTCGCTGCTCTGTCTGTCCGCCTTTGCCCGCGTGTTTCTCGGTGTAAAGGTTTCACTGGGCGTAGCGCACAGAGGGCATAATTCTACCTGGTGTCCTGGTGCTAATATGGACTGGTGTAACTTTCAGATTTATGTGGGAAGTGGGATTAAGACTGATTTTACAATCAACTCGTGCACTCGTCTCTTGGACCTCGCGTCACGGACCTCACTGGACCGGGATTTGGACCAGTTGATCTCTCCGTATTGGACAATAAACTTTTGGAGACAGAACCAGTGGGACAGTGGATAGAAAAAACACTCTGCTTCAGTCCTCTGGAGAAGGTAAGAGGCCTGTTTTCATTAGTTTGGAGCAAATCTGAAGATGGAGCCTCACAGGTAAATAGTATTATAGTGTTATAATTAAATAGTGCCTAAATGAGCTGGGGGGTGCGATGGAGCTGCTGTCGTTCTGCTGTGCGCTGTAGCAGCTGCGCTGATGCCGTGTGTTCATGTTGTAACCATAGCCTCTTATTGTAGTTTTGCTGGTGTTGTTGGAGATGGGTGTGAGCGGTGTGTTACCTTGTGTTGTGTTACGTTGTGTTGTTGGGGCTGGCAGTGAGCGGTGGATCAGGTTGTGCTGCTGCGTGAACTTGGGTAAACTTGCGTAAAACTGCGCTTGGCTGTGCGTTGTGCTCTGATAGTTCAGCCAATAGTGACCAAAATGAAAATGTCTTTTTCTGTTTCATTATGATACTATATAGCCTATATATAATACATATATTTATAATATATATTTATAATTTTGGCCTTGGCGCCCCCCCAAAAAAATTATACCACCAGCCGCCACTGCTCAAGTTAGAGAAACTTATTAAAGAGTAAGTGTAACTGTATCTTATTTATAATTTTAGTTAATGTAATTGGAAACATTAAATATTAGTATGTGGTAGAGGTCCAAGAAATTACTCGAGGAAACTGTAGTGAGAGTAACTGTAAGAGTAACTATTATCTACAACATCTAATTAAATTGAATGTAGAAATAAAATATTGCACAAAAAATCTGTAATTTTCAAATGATAGACGTAAACATGAGAACTTGAATACTTAAGTATTCAACAATCCTAAGTGTCCTCATCTCTACGCAATGTTTTTTTTGGAATGTTCCACAGTATAGCTTTAAACTAATCCATCTCTATATCTCATAAACGGAGTTAGATGCCAAAGAAAAGATTTAGGAGCAGGAAGTGCGCTGACTGGCTCTATATTTTTATGTTATAGGACTCTGATTTTTGTTCCCATAAAGGGGGCATGTCTTAAGAACTGAATGTGATAAATACCCATCCATCACCAAAATGTATATTCAATTTGTGAATAAAAAATAACAATGTAACCAATGCTTTTTTGTGCAGATAGCCCAATACCAGATAGGAGCTGTAGCGTCTGAATGAAAAGACTAGCAGAGTAAATTACATAATGGACTTTCCCTGCCATATTTGACAGGAGAGTTAAGAAGACTTTTTAAAGGATGTAAGAGAGATTTTTTATGATTCTCCAATTTTGACTTAATTTGGTGGAATTAAAGCAATTTGCGGAGAAAAGCTGTTGAAAATTACAGGAAGTAGAGAGTTCAAACATACTGATAACATCACAGTGGGAGAATTCTATCCAAAAGTTTGGCACAATTTACATTTTTGGATACTTTTTAAACTTTTCAGCTAACTTCTGTGTACATTTGTGGAGTTTTACCCGGTAACAGTTATGGAATTCCCTAGTGTAATGTCATGATTTGCAACTAGAAAGTAAAATTTAAAATCTAAAAATGTGGGAAAACAAAACCTTCAATATAGTGATCTTAGCTGTGTTTTAGTCAAATGTGTAGTCCAACTCCAACCTGTCATATGCACTTTAAGTAGCATTTGTCAAAGTAATGAGTCAAAGCTAACATTTCTCAGATTCGGAGTATACAGGGAGCTCACAGGCAGGAGCAACGCCACAGTAAATATTGACTTGTTCAGTGGAGCGTGTGAAAAAGCATCCCCAGTTTTAAGACTTATACAGTGGCAAACACAGTGACTCCTATGAATCCAGAGTCTGCAGCAATGACGGGAGAAGACCGACTCATCAAATATTCACTATTAGCCCAGTTTCCTCTGATAGTTTAGCGCAATGTGTAGCTTTAAGTGAAAAATAAAGGACTCTTATAAACTTGTATTAATCTAATTCAACATCCTTTTTCTATTAAGGATAGCAATATGTATTTATAAGCCATAAAACATTCTTACTTAGACAAATTTTATTGATCCACAAGGGAAATTATCTGGCCACAGTAGCTCACACATCACAATATAATACAATAACAGAGCAAAAATGTTAATGGTAATAATCAATTCTAAATAAGTGGCAAAAATAGCAAGAGACTGGTGTCAAATAAGGAATAATTATATAACTCTGTGCTTGTATCAGAGCATTTGTAAGTTGTGATTTGGACTCGATTCATACTTGAGTAACTATTTTTAGGACTTGACTTGACTTTTAGGACTTGACTTGGAACTGAGCCCTGTGACTTGAGAGGACTTGATACTTCTCCTAAAAATATGTATGCTTTTAGAAAATACTTTTCTCTTTACAGTTGATAAATGTGGTGCTGAATTTTACAGGAACAAACTGGAACATGTCCCTCCCACTTCTCTGTTTGTTACTTTGGATGGAACTGAAGTACTGTAATGTAATGTAATGTAATGTACTACAGTAATATAGAGTACAATACATTTCAGTACTACTTGATAAAATAACTGTTATTAGGCATTCTCAAATCTTAATTCTTTCCATTCTGACCGTAATGATTGCACTAAGCTCTTGTCAGGACATTTAAAAGAAAAAATTGCATTTCTTCAACTCTATATAAAATATATATAAATACTCATATACCAAGACATTTTAAGTACAATTTAGTCATATAAGTCATATAAAAATCTAATCATATATACAATCTAAGCTATATTTGGTACTTTTTTGGTTTAAAGACTTGAAATGACTTGATGCTCAAATCAGACGACTTGGACTTATAAGCCTGTGACTCGAGACTCGACTTGGACTTGCCTGTCTTTGACTTGGGACTTGACTCAGACTTGAGGTCAAAGACTTGAGACTTACTTGAGACTTGCAAAACAATGACTTGGTTCCACCTCTGGCTTGTATAGTAATACAAATATATCTCAGCTATATACAAGAGATTTATTACTAACACACATTGGCTCTAGATGTCCTGCAGCTTTATTAGCACATGATGATGCTACTTTCACACGACTCAGTTATGTTAAGTTCACATATATATTATATATGTGAACATATGAAAGAGCTATTATGATGGTTGTAAACAAGGTGTAACAAGTCTGGGGTAAATTGAAACAAAGTGATTTCTGAGGCTCTGAGCAAGAAATCTGATAACACAGATCAAAGAAACAAGTATTAATGAAGCAAAATACAGCTCCAGGCATGATTTTGATGAGGAGACAACAATAGAACCTGGTTAAAAGCTCCTTCCAAAACTTACTTCTGCATAATATGTGTCAAGCTGAAAACAGAACTTTTGCATCTGTTGTACCTTGATTGTATAATGCACCTTTATGTACCATGTTTTATGCTGTGTATCATGTCCACTGATTTGTCATTTTCAGGTGACATATCGTGTTGCCCATCTCATGTGGCACATCTTTTTGTTTTCCTGATCTGAACACGTCACCTGTGTAGTGTTGTCGTGTTGTGTGTGAGTAGGCCATGTGTCACCACAGACACAACTACCTCAGGCCTTCCACACCTCCATGATGTGAGCAGCTACGCAATACTCCTCTCTCCCTGGAATCAGCCCCACGAAGAGCTGCTACTGTGCTCCTCTATGTTCCAATCAAATCAGACTTCACACATCCATGGAGATTGTTTACAGTGGCAAAGAAAATTACTATTAGCTTGCCGGGCAAATCCAGAATGATATTTCTCACCACCCCCTCTGTCGTGTTTCAAGCCAGAAGCAAACATGTGATAAGATGTGCTTTTTTCAGTGACATGTGTGAAACAAAGGAGCTCTTTGGTTAGATGTCATTTACAAACTAAATTACAACTAAGTCACAGGGCTCAACAAAAATCTGCAATGCTTTTACAGTGCCAGGTGATTTTGTTTTTCACTTTCTTTACGTCATAAGCAGCCGTATTTGTTTGAGACAGATGATGCGTGTTCCCTTTTTCACAAACATTTAACTGTGATACCTAGAAAAACAAATAATTCCCAGAAAGATTAGAATGGAAAAATTTGTATTCAGGTAACAAACTTAACCCTGACAGTAGCACTAGTTCTCATCCAACTAAATGCCTTTTCAATCACAAAAGCATCAGTCAGTCACATTTCTTTCTTCTTCAAAAAACATGCTTTAGCAATCCGCAGTACATAGTATGTGGTTTTTTTTGAGCTTGATGGAATACTCGTCAATAGTAAATGACCCTTATTACACCATAGATTACATGTTTACATTTTTCTTGGATTGTCACAAATCTAATAATGTTTCTTCTGTCTGATAGAGTTGACAATAATTGAATTATATCAAGACAGATATTAGATTTTTTTTAGAACCTTTGCAGCTCAGACCTTACTCGGACATTACTCCGACAGAGCTCTCATGAATGTAGAATGTTTTATGAAAAAAATAAATGAACTTCTGTTTTCTCCCAACTCTCAAGAATCATTGTTATATAGATTCAAAACAATTATGTTTTTTTGGTATTGCTTCAAAATTTGTTAAATATTCAATTCCCTAGGTAAATTTGACCTTACATGTTTCAAGCATTTTTGTGCTTTAGTCATCATTACCATAATAGGACACTGGACCAGAGTGGTACCTCAACTGTGGTGGGCAGTATAGTGACCTATAACTTCTCAACTTCTGCATATACTGCAATATAACACACAACAAAAAACATGACTTCACTCAGTGACCTATAGCCATGAGTCAAACTGCTCTATAGCCCTCTCTGTATCTCACTGCATATAAGGAAAGATGCCATGTGTGCTGGTTTGGGGTGAATCCTAGAGAGCAGCAGTCGGACTGGTTTTGGCGGTGTATGAAACCTCCCTCATGTTTGGGTGAGTCACAGTTAGCCTCTGGGCAAATAATGTGTTCTCATACACGTGACTCATGGCACTTGCAATTTCACTACGACTACACAAAACTACTATGACTTATACTGTAGAAACATAGTGACATCATCAAAATTTCAGACTCAAGTAAAGTATTCAAACTGCTCAAATAAACAATAAGAAGAAAAAAAATCAACTGTTGCCATCTGTGCCACCAAAAAGTGTGTATATTACTTACAGGACTCCTGACGTGGCAATAAATAAACATTGTAAACCATATTTCTATAGGTTTGGTTCTTCTTGGGGACCAGTCAATGCAAGCAATGGAAGTGTCTTGCCCAAGGACACAAGAACAATATGCGCTAACCCAGTGTATGGATTGATGGGCCAATGCTCTAACTACTGAAGTATTTCTACCCCAATTTGTAGTAAACATACTGTCACACAGGAAAAAAATTAAAAATTAAACAATAGTGGTCCTAGACTGCTATCTTGAGGTACACCACAGGCAATTAGAATGTATTATCTTCTAGTCAATGATCTGAATTGTAAAAGTTGCCTAAATAAAAAGACTGAATTTGGATTTTGTAACACTATATAAATTTTCCAGCACCTGGTTATGTCCATTTAGATATGCTGTGGAGATTGCTTTCACTGGAATAACATTAAACTTGCTTATTATTGAATTATAGATGTTTTGGGGGATTTATTTTTCAGAAGTTTAACTTATCATACTGTTGAAAAATTCCATGCAAAACAACAACATTTCCATGGTGATGGACCCTCCACCTGGAAAATTACACAGTCCACCTTAAGATATTGTTAGGAAAATTACCCCATTATCAATTGTCAAGTTCAACAATGCTAGACAGAATATAGCTCCACACTTTTATTGTTAGTCCTACTTTAGTTAGTAAATAATATAAGAAGTTGGACAGGCCATTCTAGAGATACAACATATTCTCTTCTGTTCCTTTGTTGTGAAAACCTAATGCAAAAGGGCCACAAAAATGGTAAACAATGGTAAATGCTTTCAATGGTAGATGAATGCAGCAAACCTGTGGAACAAGCTCTAACAAGAACCTTGAGCCTATTAGCTGTGTGAACAAAACAGTCTACAGCACGTCTGAGTTTCTGACGAGGACTGAGGTGATCAACATTCCACACTGTTACCATCAGCTACAGACATGGCATGGAATAATTGGACACTTAAATAGATCTTAATTTATAATACATCATTTTTATTTATTTATTTTTCTGTGGTATTTATGTTTTATTTTGTTGCCAGTTTAAATTTGTGTTGTAACCTTTTTTTTCTATATGTTTAATACTTTGCATAGACACCAGGCAAAAATTTGGACTATATGTTTACTACTTTCTACATTTGATATACATACAGGAGACATCAAATATATGAAGTAAGATATATGGAATTATTTAATAAAGAAAAAAGTTAAATAAAAATATTACATATTTTACGACAAAACAAAAGGTAGAAAATTTGAGGATTTGGTTATAAAATATATCAAATCAAATTAAAATTTAGTACTTCTTTTTTTTTTAACTATATAATCCTGTTGATGGCTTCTGTATGTATATAAAATGTAAAAAGTAGTGAACATGTAGTCAAAATTTTTGCCTGGTGTCTATCAAATTCTTATACCCAGACTTACACCAAGGCTTTTAAAACAGTTTTTGATCGTATTAGCTTTTTATTTTTTCATTATATAAATAGAAATAACTGATACGTGTGAAAAACATGTAGAAAACATGGTGAAAATCTTGTTGGTGATACAGATTTTTTCTTTGAGTTTAAACAAATAATATAAAAATGTGTTATTTCTATGTCCAGACAGCTCTCAGTTTTCCCATAGAGAACATGATGAGTCACATCACCATATCTGGACTTGGTCATCAGGAGGTTATTCAGTGCAGACCTGAGGAAAACAAGATTAGATCATGGACCAGTGGAGGGACATCGCCAGGTGTAGAAAACAACATGAAACATGGAGAGCTAAGATGTCACTACAAAACACAAGAATGAGAATTTGATCGTAGGAAACACAATATTCCAGGTTTAAATATTTACTTCACTTAAAACCTTAGTATGTAACTTTTTTGCTTAAAACTGACTCAAATAAAACCATGTTTTTTCGTCACAGATGTTTTAATCGCCCTGAAAAACAATGAAAAACACGTGTCCTGAGCACGCCTTGCATCTCCACAAACCAGACCATCCTGCTTATTTCCATGGAAATGTTGCTGCTTATCTATCTCCATGGAAAATGTTACATAGTATGGTTTTAACTTTCTTTTTCCATGGAATCAGGCAGGTGACTTTCCAGCTCCAGAAAGTTACATACTATCACTATATGCTGATTGCAATTAATCTCATTATTAGAAAAGTATAAATGACGTACTTTAATTTTAGCAGTACTCTATCAGTGTTCATTTTGTTCATTACAAAAGTGACGTATGGACTTACTCATCTGTGTATATACGGTAAGGTGACGCAAAGACACACTGACATAGGCCCACACATGAGTCAGAGTGATTGACCAATCAAGTGACATCAAAAGGCTAAGTGTTTTGGGTTCATGGAGATGCCCCAAACATGTTAATGCTACTCACACATACATGAATGTTGAGGAAAGATTATAACGTGATTCTTTTTATTCTAATTATTGACTGATGAGTTTATAAGTGTGTTTCACAATAAAAAGTGACTGCTGTTAACTTGAAAATTACCGCTTCATGACATCACAAGGTGGAACGGTCCATTTTGAGCTTTTTTGAACATTTTAATATACCTTGAAGCTTACAAGAGTCAATTTTGTGCGACATAGGACCTTTAAACTAATATACATTTAACATCTACTGCACAGAAGCTAATAAAAGTAGTTGAAGTATTGGAATAGTAGACATTGTGTAGCATTGTGTAGAGTCAATAGCAGATTAGCTTACCAAACTCGTCCTGAACAGTGTGGTTTGTTGCATTATTCAGTGACCTTGCAGTAGCACATACCTGGGACACGTGTGAATGTAGTGCTGTCTGCGCCCGCCGTTCACAGCAGAGCACCCACTCGACCTGATTGTTTCATGAGTCACACAGAGCGGCAGCGCGGAGGTGATGAACAATCTTCGGAAAAAGGAGAAAATGAATTAAGGTGACACAATAAAGGTGGATATGTGTTTCGTGGGTGTTGGGTTTACAGATAGCTGTGTGAAAGTTGTTTGTTACTGAGAAGAATGTAAAAGAAAAATATACTAAAGCAAATTTTATACATCGCTGTCCAGTGTGGAAAAAACTTAGTTGCAAACAAAGCTTTTTTGTTAGTTTGTTGTTTTGCGTATTTTAAGTGTTTTATTGTCAGAAACAGGAAGTGCATGTTAGGATGCTATTAGGTTCTAAAAGTTGTGATAGGCTCTTATTAACTCATTGTAGTGAATAGAATTAAAGGCTGCTCGGAACACATACGAGATAAGTCAATTCAATTCAGTCTTTATGAAGAACACATAATATCTGGTTCATAATATAAAACAATAATAACAATAAAAAAAATTGAATATACAGTGCATGTTAGAATGTATACAGACAAGACCGCCAGTATCTCCACAGCTCAGAGGTGAATCTGACAGAGCTCTTCACAGGACACACTAGAGCTTGAATGATTTGATTGCATATGTGGCATGAGTGAGTGGGACTACTTTGATATCTTGTGGTAACTACTGGCTGAACCAATAATTACTCACATAACTAGAGGAAAAGAGCCAACAACGTCACCAGGGAGTTGGCCCAGGTCCAGCTAATATAAAAGGCACATAGGTTAATTGTTGATAAACAGAGGCATAATTCAAAATTTTAAAGTTTAATTTATAAATTTTCCGTAAATTAGATTATTGTGACAGTAATGTTAGCAGGTGTTAGGACAATTTGGTTCACAGTTCACTGAATGACTTTTGGTTCCAAAGAAGGTTTGTTCATAAATCCAGTTGGAGCTCAAATCTCCAGATAACACCAGTACACAGAAACGGCAAGAAAAGGCAAGGCAGCAACAGTGCACTCAGCTCCATGGCTCAAGATCTATAAAGTAAAATGCACATTACCCCCAACTGTTGAACTAAACGATAATTTTGAAGGTCCAATATTATGCCACACACACCTATATTTGTCGCTGGATGAGTGTGGCGAAGGACAGACGCCAAACGGCCAGCCTGCCCACTAGCCGGCCCATGGCAGCAAGCACTGAGACTGGTGAACAAGCAGCGTCAACAACGGGAAACCAGAAGCAAGAGTGTGAGGTCAGAGGGCGAGGGGACAGAAAGGGGGCGATTTTATAGATTGACTGATGTCACCTCCAACCAGTGGTCAGACTGCACCCAAGTGGCAGAGCCTGCCCGCGGGCCACACTGTCACACTCAGATTCATTGCTCTAAACATAATTGAATAAATACAACATCTGATTGTGATGACACAGGGTCTCACACCACAATTTACAAACTTTCGCTACAGGACCTTGGCACTTTCAGTATAAAGACAAAGAGTCATTATAGGCCACTGTCAAACTCTGCAAACTCTTTCTTGTACTTGTGCCAAAGATGTGCACTATACAAGGGTGAGCAGAAAGAAGTCTTAAGTACTTCCTTTTTCCCCCCAATAAAAAGACCCTGTTCAAGGTGCATTGCGCAAGTTTTCTAGTGAAGGGTGCACCACCTGCTTGTCTCCATGGAAATGTTACTGCTTTGTCTAGATCAGTATAGATTAAGGCTACGTTTATATGATGATGGTCCAAGCAGAAGATGCAAAAGTGGGGTTGCGTCTTCCCTTTTTATTCCGTGTTTAGACAAGCATTTTCGGGAGGAAATCTGCATGCATACGGTGGCGCAAAAGTGTGTGGAATTCAATTGGGTATGCATGTCATCCGACATGTTTGTTTCTGTATACTGTATTTATGTGACATAAATGTGTATGCAACGTGAGCAGATCTGACCAGAGTTTTGCGTCTTGGGCAGTGTAGATGGAAATGCTACGGTGGAGCTTATTTAACTTTTCCACTCTGGAGGGTGGTTTCAGATTTTTGCAGTTTTAAGCCCCAAAAACACCATCACTGTCTAAACAAAAGACACTTCCGATAAAACATTTTGTTGTTTTTACCTGCAAACAGGCCCTAAACCTGTCTATCACAAGGAAGACAAACAGGTTACAGCACTACGCTACATTACAGTTCAGATCTGTGGAGTCACCCCTGTGCACAGAAGGACTTCATGTGTTTTTGAGCAATAGAACACCAGTAAATGCTAGCTGTATATGTTTAACATCATACTGTGGAGCATTCCAAAGGAATAACATCTCCATGGAGACGAGCAGGTGGCAGACCTTCCATTAGAAAAGTTGCATGTGTTAACTTGATCTTATTTATTGGAAAAAAAGGAAGTACTTAAGACTTCTCACTTATGCATTCTGAGCATCATCTATTTCTATTCACTACAGTGAGTTAATAAGAGTTTACCACAACTTTCAGAAGTAAAGCTAATACCATGATAATGTGCACTTCCTGATTTACTGACAATATATAGTTATACACAGAAAGTATACAGCTGATTTTTTTTTTACCTCAAGAGCTGCTTATACAAAATGTCTGTCATGGGACAAGACAGATTTTGCTCATATACGTGGAACAAAATCGCATACAGAAATATAATTGATCCACAAGGGAGATTACTTGGAACACAGTGGTATTTATATTTGGAACTTTGAAATCTCCACAGATCTTCCTTGTAACTTTGCCTTAGAGTGCATCTAACTGTCTTCCCGGAAATAATTTTGAACATTTCAGGCAATTTTCGGTGTGATTTTAATTTTTATTTTTTTATATTGCATTGTACATGTAAAAAGCGTGTTATCAGTTGTAGTAACAAAGGGCATTTGGCACTGACAGTCATTTGTGTATCTGTTGGTGTAATTACATGGCTGAGCGCGTCTGATTCTTCTCACCATCCAACTGCGCTTTAACATAATGACAGCTCATGTATCCAGGTATTTGCTCATATCTGTCCATTATGTTGGTGCTTCCAGAGATGGCACTAGTAGTAATATGTGTAATTTAGTGTTTAGCGTGGATGTAGAGTGTGTTATAAATACATTTTGACTGATAGAATGATTAAAAAGTAATAATATAAACAGCAAATGCACTGTACTTGATGTTTTGAGCTAAATATGTCTTGCCCCAGTACAGATAGTTTGTATAAGCAGCTCTTGAGGTCAAAATAAGTCTGCTGTGTCCTGTCTGAGTCTAATTATAAAGTATTTTGCATCTTCTTAGCAGCAAAACTCTACTCTGGTCTCTTGAGAGTTGTGAAAAGGGTTCATAAACTCGCTATGGTGAATAATTATGATGATCGTAATGCATTAGGTAGGTGAGGAATAACTTTGGACCACAGTATGTTTAAAATTAACTATGCTGTTTAAAGCAGTAAAAATCAGGTACGGTGTCTTTAAGGAGGAGATTGAACCACGAAAAAAATGAAAACATACAATTTGACCTGTTGTGTTTTACTTGGATTGTCGTATTGCAGACATGAGAATCCGTGTGCGTCAGCTGAGCCTCAGGAGACGTGCAGTGGGGATGACTGTGTGTTTATGAGTCTGGGAAAAGGGTGTGGTGGGGGCACTGCTGCTAGCGGTTATGTAAGCGTGAGGTAGATAGGACTGGTGTAGTGAAATCTTACCTGCATTGAATCATTTGGTGGCATGACTGAACGTCTACAGAAAAAGTGAACAAAGCGTGTTGCATGTTCTCAAACTTTGATGATTAAGATAAAACTTTAGATCAGAGTTAGGAAAAATTGGTAACACTTTATTTTAGGGTACACTTATTAACATCTTACTACCTGCTAATTATGATAGTTGTAAATGGTTAATTTGTCATGCAGTAGTATTTATTCAGACCTTATTAGTGTCTATTTCCCCATCAGCTTATTCTGCTATTAGTGAGACATTTACAAACACTTTCCTGTTAATACACTCCTTATTACTGCTCATTAATATGATACTAGGCTGTTTTTGTCCCTGAATTATGAATCTAAACAGCTTTTAGTAATAAGTGTGTTGTTAAGGACTAGTAGCACAAGAAATGTTGGTTTTAATCAATTTTGTTTACTCTTGTGTAATAAAACACTCTCTATTAGGTGTTACTAGAGGCCAACTAGCCATGAATTAAGTCATTAAGATCTGAATATGTTTCTCATTCTAAAGTGATGTTTTGTGAATAAATTACTAATTTGACACAAATTAAAATGAAATATGGTCCCTATTCTAAAGTGGTCTCCTCTTCACACTTAACATACATGTCACAATACATGAATTAACAGTTCATATATGAAAAGGCAGTTGTACAAAACCATTCATGGACAAAAATGGCCTAGTATCATATTAATATGTACCCTAAAATAAAGTGTTATATTTATTTCCTGTGTATAGATCAGGGGTTCACAAAAAACTAAAAAGCAAAGCAATCTAGGATTCCAC